GTGTCGGTGGTTCTGTTGCCCTCGGTAACAAAACGGTGTTCTGCAAAATAAAGTGAAATTTCAAAGCAATTGTGTTTGTCTACCAAACTCAGCAGCGCAGAGAGGGATGTGCTCAAATAAAACCTGCAGGAGGCGAAAACAACAAGATCCAGCTGTTACAGGAGACGCTGTCAAATCATTATCACCCGCCGCTAAAAAGGTGACAATTGATGCTTTTGCCCACGTTTGTAATATGAACCAAATATCTCATTAACCAGTGGAACAGTTTCAATTAAACTAATCACCGTATTTTCCGCCGTATTCGTCACATCAGATAAAAAATGTCTAATAAAGTTGAAAAATCAAGTTGCTTCGCCGCATAAGTCGCATCTATTATGCGTCACCGCTGACCACCCGAAAGAATTTAACAAGTAACCACCTAAAAACAATTATTTGTTTGCTCGAAATTATAGCAAAGGTGTGTCTCAGTTGAACTTTTCCTTAATAATTGCACTTTAACAATCAAATCGGCTGCATTTCGCCTGGGCGTCGCAGCGAAACGCAGCTGATTTGACGTTTACTCCAGGAGCTCCAGAGCGAGACAAAGGTGGCTGTATGGCAAGCTAAGTGTCTCACTAATAGCCACTTTTACCTATTAATGAGACACTTGGCATGCCATGTTACTTGAGGGCCCTCTAGCAGCTGCACATGGTAATGTTTAATGTTTTTCATGTCATAATGAATGAAATCTTCAGATCTCAGCTAAAAATTGAGTTATAAATGTGGAAAAAAAAAAAACATAAATTAGTTGATTCGGTGTATGAGTTGTAGGACTTGCAAATTTATGCAAAAAGGTGAGACTTAAATGGCAAAAAAAATACGGTAGATGTCCATCTTGAGCTCATTAACGACCTGATGCAAGATGGCTACAAGTAATTTAGACAACAGACATGACTACACTGAGCTAAAACTTGGTGCGGTAAAAGCCAAGGCTCATCCTCACAGCTTACTTTAAATGCTAACAGATTATAAAAATCCGTGCGTCATCACGTGGCATTGTGTGAAAATATTATTTGGAACGTTTGAGCAGAGCAGGCCACCAATTGTCACCTCAAGTTGCTCTAAAGTTTAAAATCTGGTATGAAAGGCAATATGAATATAATTTAGCTTCTTTTTTTATTATTAAAAGATAAACCTGCCATTTTTTCCTTTACATAGAAGCAAAATGTTAATATTCTTTTAGTTTTGGAAAAAAAAAAAGCCAGAAAAACAAACTTTCATAACCTTTTGTGGTTCAT